GCGACCAGAGCAGACGCAGCCGAGGACTCAAAGGTAGGGTCAGTGACAACAGTAGCAAGGAGACGCGTGATAGTAGGGTGCTCAGCACGATACCGGTCAGACTCAGGGTCCGGAACGTCAGGCAAAGAGGACGCAGGAGGAGACGGTAGAGGGACACGCTGAGGAGCAGTAGAGGGACGCAGAGTCATGTAGTGAGTGCCTGGGACAGGAGGAGGACGCTCACGACGGACACGACTACCAGTGCGAGCAGGACGAACAGGCGACGCAGGACGAGACTCAGGCTCACGACGCTCTGTAAGACCTCCTGTGGGACCAGTGTAAGGAGAGGGAGCAGGGAGAGGCGAGGTAGGCGGTAACTGTGACTGCGGCTGGACAGGCGGGGGACACTCTACGGAGGGAGGAGGACAAGGAGGAGGAGCCTGCCCAAGAACCTGCTGAAGGAGCGGTACGAAGTACGGTCGCGGCCGCGCAGCGTCTCCAGAAGCAGAGGAGACTCCAGCGGCCGGGTCCTCAGTACCAGTAGTAGCTCCAACGCCCGGGTCCTCAGCAGCAGCAGCAGCAGCGCCACCGCTCGGGTCCTCAGCTCCAGCAGCAGCTCCACCGTCCGAGTCCTCAGCACCAGCAGCAGCTCCACCGTCCGGGTCCTCAGCACCAGCAGCAGTGCCACCGCCCGGGTCCTCAGCTCCAGCAGCAGCTCCAACGTCCGAGTCCTCAGCACCAGCAGCAGCTCCACCAGGCGGGTCCGCAGCACCAGCAGCAGCTCCAACGTCCGGGTCCTCAGCACCAGCAGCAGCGCCACCCCCAGGGTCCGCAGCACCAGGAGCACCACTCCGAAGACTGCAGCGCCGTGTGTACCACTCGCGGATCACCTGAATGGGGGGGAGCTCCTGGGTAGGAGGGGAAGTACCGGGACGAGCTCCAGTAGCACCTCTCCGGAGGCGGCAGTACTCGAGGTACCTCTCCTGCAGCTGCTGGGAGGAGAGGGCTCCTCCAGGTGTAGCACGCTCAGGCTCAGCACCTCCAGACTCAGCACCCCCAGACTCAGCACCCCCAGGCTCAGCACCTCCAGGCTCCGCACCTCCAGGCTCCGCACCTCCTGGCTCAGCACCCCCAGGCTCCGCACCCCCAGACTCAGCACTCCCAGGCTCAGCACCCCCAGACGCAGCACCCCCAGGCTCAGCACCCCTAGCAGGACGAGAGTCAACAGCTACCTCTACAGGCTCACCCTAGTCTACCTGGGACACACCTGAGGGAGCGGCACCCTGAGGGGGGAGGGGGTCTGGTACCTCAGCACCTGGAGCGAGGAAGAGAGGCGGGGGGGGGAGCGGGGCAGTGCGGTAGGGGAAGAGGCGGTAGTAGGGGACGGACTCGTCAAAAGTGACGTCCTGAGAGGCCAGGACACGACGCGAGGTGGGGTGGTAGAACTGCCAGCCAGGGGCGTCCGGGACAAAGCCAAGGAAAATGCAGGGGATAGCGCGACGGGAGAGCTTGTCCGCGGACGTGTCGCGGACAAAAGCTCGGGATCCCCAGACCCGAAAACGCGACGCATCGCCAGCCTCTCCCGTCCAACGCAGTGTCGGAGAAGTCTCGGGCAAGGAGACACGGGGCCAGAGGTTGAGCTGATGCGCAGCGTATCGGACTGCAAACGGCCACAGAAAATGGGGGGCAGCCGCATGGCTCAAGGAGGTACGAGCGACCTCCATGACCAGACCAATGCGGCGCTCAGCAACCCCATTCTGCTGTGGAGAGGCCGGAAGCGTGTACGACTGCTCAATGCCCTCCTGCTGACAGAAGGCCTCCAATAGGCCAGAGGAAAACTCCCCACCTCTGTCAGAGTGCAGACGCAGGACAGGGAAGTCGGAGCGGAAACGCTCACTGAGCTAGAGACGAGATCTGCGGATCCAAGGGATCAAGACATCAGGGACGTCACCCTTGGCGCGCAAGGGGAAGACCGTGGTGTAGCGCGAGAAGTCGTCAACAACAATCAGGAAGTACCTCTCCTGACCCTGACCACGGACGCGGGCTGGGCCCCACACGTCCATGTGGAGCATCTGCAAGGGAGCAGTCGTCGGGGGAAATGAGGAGGAGTGAGGAGCGGCGCGCTGCCGTCCCTCGACACAGGGAATACAGGGAGGAGCAGGCGAGTCGGGAAGGGGAGGGAGCACCCTGGGAAGACCAGCAACAAGGTCCCGTTTGTGCATGGCCCGAAGGTGCTGCACAGACGGGTGACCAAGGCGGTGGTGCCAAAGGACAGTCTCATGCGCCAGAGAGCGACACGAGCAGGGGGCGGACAGCTGACCTGACGCAGACGCAGACGTAGACGCAGACGCAGCTACCTGAGGGGACTCAGTGGTCAGTGTGTACAGGTCCGACCCCGGCTCTCGAGTGAAAGTAGCCAGGTGGCGACCCGTCCGAGCACACGTGCAGTGTGTCACGCGCTCGTAGGCAGGGGTGAACTGGTGAACACCCGAGTCCTGGAGCGCACAACCCGCCACCAAGTTCGTAGAGAACGAGGGGAGGTAGAGACCTGACAGCGTGCCGGACGGGACCGCAGGACAAGGAAGGACAGTGGAGGAGGTCGCAATGACCGGACCCCCAGAGGGGTCAGCAAGGGAGACAGCAACTGGCCGAGCGAGTGGCTCAAGGACAGTGCGGTCACGAAAGAAAGAGCGAGAAGCACCTGAGTCCAGGGTGAAGGTGTGCAGTGCTGCAGTCGACTCAGTACCAGGGGGCACAGACGCACTAGCACCTAGGGCAGCAGCCTCACCATCACCTGGGGTAGCAGACACGCGAGCACCTGGAGCAGCAGACGCACTAGCACCTAGAGCAGTAGGCTCACCAGCACCTGGAGTAGCAGACACGCGAGTACCGGGAGTGGTAGCCTCACCTGCACCGAGGGCAACAGACGTACTGGCACCGAGAGCGGCTGCCTCACTCACAGAGCGACTACCACTACGGTCACCCCGACTGCTCAAACCGGCGTACCACTCACGAGCCTGCTGGACCAGAAGAGGGCACGGCTGCTGCACCTGTCCACTACCAGGGGCTCCCGAACGACGCACGCCAGAGCGACTACCACGCCGGCCACCCCGACTGCCCAAACCGGCGTACCACTCACGAGCCTGCTGGAGCAGAAGAGGGCACGTCTGCTGCACCGGTCTACTACCAGAGGCTCCCGAACGACGCACTCCAGAGCGACTACCACTACGGCCACCCCGACTGCCCAAGCCGGCGTACCACTCACGAGCCTGCTGGAGCTGCATCTGGCCACGTCAGGAGCAGCAGCAGTAGCGGCAGCAACAGCAGGAGCAGTAAAGGCAGTAGCAGCAGCAGTAACGGTAGCAGTGCTAGCAGGGCAAAGCTCACCAGTGGTTGGTGCGGCGGGCGCAAGACAGTGGCGACAGCGTGGCCGCTGCAACAGCGGGGCGGGGCCAGGTCGTAGCAGGGAGCTCCGCGGCAGCTGCTGCAGGGTCGGCGGCGGCCGCTGCTGTAGGCTCGGCGGCGGCAGCTGCTGCAGGTCGAGCGGCGGCTGCTGCTGCAGGGTCGGCGGCGGCCGCTGCTGTAGGCTCGGCGGCGGCTGCTGCTGCAGGGTCGGCGGCGGCAGCTGCTGCAGGCGCGGCGGCGGCAGCTGCTGCAGGTCGAGCGGCGGCTGCTGCTGCAAGCTCGGCGGCGGCAGCTGCTGCAGGTCGAGCGGCGGCTGCTGCTGCAGGCTCGGTGGCGGCAGCTGCTGCAGGCTCGGCGGCGGCAGCTGCTGCAGGTCGGCGGCGGCAGCTGCTGCAGGGTCGGCGGCGGCCGCTGCTGTAGGCTCGGCGGCGGCAGCTGCTGCAGGTCGAGCGGCGGCTGCTGCTGCAGGGTCGGCGGCGGCCGCTGCTGTAGGCTCGGCGGCGGCAGCTGCTGCAGGTCGAGCGGCGGCTGCTGCTGCAGGCTCGGCGGCGGCAGCTGCTGCAGGGTCGGCGGCGGCCGCTGCTGTAGGCTCGGCGGCGGCTGCTGCTGCAGGGTCGGCGGCGGCCGCTGCTGTAGGCTCGGCGGCGGCTGCTGCTGGTCGCGTGACAAACCCTAAGCCGCGCACGGGCGGCTAGCGGGTCACGCGTATGAAGAATCGGCCGCGCGCGGGCGGCTAGCGAGGCGCGCGCGCGAAAAATCGGCCGCGCACGGGCGGCTAGCGAGTCGCGCGCGTTAAAAACGAGCCGCGCGCGGGTGGCTAGCGGGCTGCGTGCGCGCGGTAGGTAGAGGCGCACGAGGGCGCGCGGTAGGTAGAGGCGCACGAGGGCGCTAAGGCGCACGAGGGCGCGCGGTAGGTAGAGGCGCACGAGGGCGCGAAGGCGCACGAGGGCGCTCGGTAGTGAGAGGCGCACGAGGGCGCACGAGGGCGCACGATAGGTAGGTAGGTAGGTAGGTAGCGGTGGGCCCTAGGAGCGGTCCTAGCAAAGGACCTGCTCTGATACCATGTCAGAATGAACAGGCAGGAATGATGGACTAGCAAGGATTGTGAGTACAAAATATGAAACCCTAATGTTGTGACCCCCCTATAGGCTAACCCACTACAGCCTACACAAATACAACATGTATAATGTTTGACAGTACGTACAGCATATGCTGCCAGGTGTCGGAATGCCGTGCCGCCCGTGGTTGTCGCCGAATGTATTTGTCATTGGGTGGCGTGATTCACGGAACTATCGCCAGCTAATTGCAATACACCCCATCAATCGCACGCGGTGCCAAATGTCATCCCATGCAGCATGTATCTAGACTACATTTTGCGTGACCCTCTATCCCCACCAACGCGTACTCTGCCTTGTGATTGGTCGGAACGAACCATCCAGCATTGTTGACAAGGACGCGCACTCCCCCGCCAATGCGCCTTCCCCCCGGTCTTGTGCCTCCGCCTCCCAACCCCTTACAAGGTCAAGTTTGTGTATCTGCTTTGAAGTACCACTCTGTCATCTTCTCCCGCCACATCTCCCTCTAGATCTAGATCTAGAAGTCACACGACCGCAAGCATGGCTCGTAAGCGTAAGGGGCTGGCCCTTAACGACTGCACCCAGGGCCTCTGTCGCCATCCCAGGGGATTATCCGCGCCGCCTGTTCTTGACGGCCAGGGGTCCAGTGCACAGTCGCCCACGGCTGCACCGTCACGTGTGCGCCGTCAGCCTGCAAGGACTGCAGCAACGCACCGGCCAGTCGTGGAGGAAGACGATGCCGAGGAGGACGACGACGAAGGAGACGACGAAGTCGCCTCCGACGACGAGGAGGAGGAACCTGAGGACCTTGGAATGTCGCCCAGCGACGACTACGAAGACGACGACGAGGATGCCGAGGAGGACGCCCCGGAAGAAGCACAGCCAGTCGCTCCGCCGCCGAAACGGAGCACCGCACGCAAGGCAGGGTCCGATAAGGGCAAAGGCAAGGCGGCGCAACCTGCGGCAAGCCCAGAGCCGCGCAAGAAACGGGCGGCCGCACCAGTCGAGCGCGGCTTATGGTTTGACAAGGAGAGCACCATTTCGCCGCGGCGAAATGGTTCATGAGAGAGGAGCTCGAGCCTCTCAAGGGGAAGCAGGGGACGCAATACTGGGCCCGGCTGCTCGCACACATCAAGGAGTCGAACCCCGGATGGTGCAGGGGAGTCAACGCGCTGCAGAAACAGTGGCGTAATCTGATGCTTCTTTGGCGGGAGTACAAGCGTGCCGACGGGGGGTCGGGCAACGGCTCGGTGGAGAAACCACCGTGGTATCCGTACATGGAGCTGCACAACCAAGACACCACCGCAGCCGCACCGCATGCCATGGACGGAGGTGGGGCGAATAACGTCAACGTGCCGGCGGGCATGGAGGTTTCAACTTCGTCCCAGCCAGGCACGTCAACTCCATGCTTTACAGGTGAGTCCGTGTTCTTCTCTTCGGTACGATTTCATATGCTTGCCTCACATGTCGTAGTTCCAACCTAGCTGTTTTTATTATCGGCAGAAACGCATCATACATCAACATCGTGTGCACGACCAAATCTAACCTACTTTCTTCGCCCCTCATATGTCGCAGCTCCTCCGCCTACGACCACTGCCAAACCCAGGCGAGCCCGGGTGCATGAGACGGCTACCATGCAAGCGGCGATGCTGGTCCCCGCCACCATCAAGGACTGCCACGGTGACGCGATGACTCGCATTGAAGGCCTCGTCCGTGAATGGATGGCGCAAGACCTCCGACTTGCCCGCGAGCGCATGACTGACTCGGCTCCCCCGGATGTGCACCGCGCGCCGCCGGATTTCTCCCAACGGCCGCCACGCGGGGAGTCCGCGCCACCCCCCGAAACCGCACGGCCGCGAGAAGATGTGGGCGACGTCAACACCGTCACTCCGGCGGCCGAGGATGTGGAGATATGGGTGCGCGGCGCCGACGATTAGAGTAAGATTCTTGGAGCGCCTCACCCAGTCGTTTCCGCCTCTCCCTTAGTGCCTGTTGTGTTGGTGGAACACACGGTTCCCATTTGTGTGTCCCAATAGCACCCCGCGTCCACCATGGATCGCGGTTGCGGGGTAGGTTCTCCCATGCCAAGTTCCGCCACCTAACATCCTGCATATCTTCGCACATGTTGTGCAGGATGACACAACACGCGGCCCCGGCGATTATGCGCCACAACCTGCATTCGTTGCGCTGGGCGAAGATGCGCCATCTCCCTTTGAAGGCGCCGATGCATCTCTCCACCGCCATGCGTGTGGCGCTCTGACAGTAGTTGAAACATTGTGCCCAGTCGTCCATGAGGTCTTCTCCTCGTGGGGCATGCAAGGGTGTTAGGCAGTACTCCCGTAGAGGGTAGGCCGCGTCACCAACAATCTGGTATGGGTCTATGTCCCCGTTGTGTAACCTCTCAAGCAGTGCAGACTCTTTGAAAACCTGCATGTCGTGCGCGCTACCGGGATACCCGATCAGGTAGTCCCATATCCTGCCTCCTGCATCACACGTGAGCTGGAGTTGTACGGCATAGGCCGATTTCCTTGTCTAGTACTCTGCTCTGTGCCCTTCCATCCCCTTCATGTGTATATGAGTCCCGTCCACAACACCCACCACAGCAGGTATACCCTTGACGGCAGCAAACTCGCGCGCCATCCCAGGAAGCTCTTCACGTGTGGGGAAGCGCACCCAGGCGGCCTTGAAGACGGAGGGGAACTCCGTGAGAAACACGTCGACCAGTTCGTGACAAAGTGTCTTTGAGATTCCGAACAGGTACGACATGTCCACGTACGATATACCGGACGCCAGGTACTTGATTGGGATGAGCACAGCGGTGTCCAAGGTGAGTATTGACCGGTGTACTATGGGCTCTAGGTAGTGTTGCAGCCCTGTCTTGATATGCTCCAGAATTGCGCGGTTTATCCTGAACAGATCCTGAAAGTCGTTCTCCCGCATGTGCTGCAGGTCTTCAACCCACAAAGCGTGACATCGACGCCGTACCCTCGTTCTATGACGGCGATTCTCCCTGTAATCATCCCCGAGCGATGAGGATTGCTCGTCCTCGTCCTCGAACACGCCTGACTCGATGAGGCCTACAAAGCTCTTCGCGACATTTTCGTGGAAGATGGCGTAGTAGTAGGTGACCCAGGCGACGAGTAGGCGTAGGATGAATGGGATGGTTCTAGGCTCTGCCATGTTGTGTGGATTAGGAGTGCGTAGTTCCTTTGTTTGTGTGTTGACGGGTTATACATGCTCATTGTGTGTGACGGGAGATGCCATAATTACCGTTTTGGCAATTATTGGTAGCGCGGATGTGTAGTGTGTCATCCGCGGTCTCCCCGTACATGAACATGTTTCTTCCGCGAGACAGGAGCTGGGGTGTTTGTGCTTCAGGAGTGGAAGTGTGCCAGGTTTGACGGTGACCAATCACAGGGGGTCGCAAATAATTGTCGCGCAACACAGCAGAGTCGCAGTACATCGATCGATTGGGACATGTAGAATCGAGAAATTTGAGCGCGACTCGGCGTAAAGGGGATTGGGACACATCGATTGGGACACAAATCCACAGCGGAATGTACCCTAAGTCCTAAACCCCACTCATGGCTCCTAATCTCCTAAGCTCCTATGTCAGATTGTAACATGCTATCAGAGCGGGTTCCACCTCCCAATCTCAATGGGCCCACCACTAGCCCTCGTTGTGGCGCATCCCGTCGCGCAGCCCATAGTGCGCATCGTGAGCGCCACGACGATCAACTCGTCACGCTGCCCTGCTTCAGCTTGCCGCCCGTCACGTCACGTCCCGCCATCTGCCTCGTCAGCCCGTCGCCCGTCCCGTCGCGCTGCCGCCCGTCGCCAGATCCCCGCGAGCCGTTCACACTCCGACGCCCGTCGCCAGCTCGTCGTGACGGGAGTGACGGCGAACCCGTCGCGCTTCCCCACCGTCGAATGCGCCGAGATCGCGCCTGACCGTCCTGCCCGTCGCCTGCCTCGTCGACCGTCGCCCTAGCGCCCCGCTTGTCGCCTGCGCCCGTTGCGACAGCGACTGCATCAGCGCACAAGCCAGCGAGTCCGCCACCGCGTCAGCGAACTCGCCAGCGCCCCCGCCTTTGCCTCCTCGCTCCCCGCCTCCGCACCTGCTGCCCCGCTATTCTACGGTAAGCATTGCGGGGGGGAGGTGGCGGGGCTCGCGCCCATGGCTACGGGGGTGCTTAAGCCCCCGTGAACCTGCACCTTCAGCGCCCACCGCCTCTCTCTCACTGCGGCATCTGCTACTGTGGGGGGGAGGGTGAGGGGGTGGTGGGAACGTGCTTACAGTACCTACCGCCTCCTCCTCTCATCCCTTGCCGCCCCTGCTGCAGTGGGGGGGAGAGGAAGGGGGTGTGAGGGTGGCGGGTATGATCAGTCAGCCGCCTCTTCAGCCGCCTCTCCTGCGTCTTCCTCCTCCTTTCCTCCTCTCATCCGCCTCATGTACACCACCGGCTTCCTCCTCCTATCCAACCGTTGGTGTGTAACACCGGCATGTCAGAATGTGAAGTTTGTCTAGTCTGCAGTGGGGTACTCTATAGCGAGTACAGCCCAATTAGGGTTTCCTATATGTACTCAACTGCCTGCTAGTGAAAATCCTTCTTGCCTGTTTCGTTTTCGCCTAGCCTTTTGACATGCTATCAGAGCAGGTCGACCCTCCTGGGTCGATCCTGTGGGTGGTCCCGCCCGTTAGCTTCCGCTATTGTTCTGTGTGTCGCGCGCCCCGTGGCGCGCGACGTTTTTTCTTCCCGCCACGCGCTCGGGGCGCGTGGCGGTTTTCTGCTCGCCGCGCGCCCCAAACGCGCGGCGGTTTTCTGCCTGCCGTGCGCCCCGAGGCGCGCGACGGTTTCCCACCGTCGCGTCACCCCGGGGACCCGCGCGCGGCTCCTCGTCGCCCTCCGCGGCGGCCCCGTCGACCCGCGCGCGACTCCCTCGTCGTCCGTCGTGGCGCCCCGTCGACCCGCGCGTCGCCCTCGGGGACCCGCGCGCCCGTCCCCATCGACCCGCGCGCCCCTCCCGTGGACCCGCGCGCCGCCCCCGGGGACCCGCACGCCCGTCCCCGTCGACCCGCGCGCCCCTCCCGTGGACCCGCGCGCCGCCCTCTGGGACCTCCCCGCCCGACCCAGTCGACCCGCGCGCCGCCCCTTACCCCATGCGCCGCGGGGCTGCCTCCTCCCCGCTCCTACCCCGTGTTGCGTGTGTCAGGGTTTGGGGGTGGCGAGCGTGGGGGTGGCAAGTATGGGGGTGCCGAGTGTGTTTGCCGTCCCCTGCTCCTCCTCCTCCTCCGTCTCCCACAGCTGCAGCTGCCGCTGAGGGGGGTGGATGTGTTGGAGCCGTCGGAGTGGTACGAGGGGGGTGGCGTGTGAGCAGTGCTAGGGGTACAGCGGGGGATGTGTGAAAAGGGGGTGGGACAGCTGGGGGAAGTTGAGAGGAGGCCGTCGACTTGTCGTCCGCAGCGCCTGAAGTCCAGAGAGCCACGACCCCCTGTGGCCGTGTAGTCCGGGGCTCTGCGCCCAGTAGCCACAGTGTGCGCACTCCAGGGAGCACAGCGAGCCAGCTACATCTGTCGCCGTGTAGTCCGGGTTTAGCCTGGTAGCGACAGTGCTGCGCACTCCTGTTGCCCGTGTGTCTGGAGCTTCTCCTCCTCCTCACTTGCCCTCTGTGATAGCCTCTAGCTTTGCTTGTATTTGTGAACCTACTGCTCTGCCTGCTTGTTGTGTTGATTATACCCCACTTAGACTATGGGGTGTGTCAGAATGTGATGTTTGTCTAGCCTGCAGTGGGGTACTCTATAGCGAGTACAGCCCAATTAGGGTTTCCTATATGTACTCAACTGCCTGCTAGTGAAAATCCTTCTTGCCTGTTTCGTTTTCGCCTAGCCTTTTGACACGGCAGCCTACGCCCTCCAAATTGTTGGAAACAAGTAATTCCTAAAGCGCCTCTGTCGTGTCGAAACATCACACCAGAAGCGAAGCGAGTCATATCGAGGCACGAGCGAGTCAACCCTCGGAGGTTGAAAGAGGTTGCCGGAGGTTACGCGAAAGTCAAAGGTCAGCGACCTTTGACCTGACAAGTACAGTACGACAGCAAGGACACACAACCGACTCGTTACAGAGCGGTTGCCCGAGTCGTCACTGTATCGAACCGCAACAGCAACAGTAAAGTAGTTACAACCGTATCCTTTTCATATTCCTTGTACTCATATATAAAAGCCTGTATCCCTTTGCTTTAATCAACTTACTTTGCTCTCACACACCAGTGCAAGGTGGTTCACAAGCTTTCATTAAACGCTTCCGCTATTACAATAGTCCTACCCCGAATTTACCCCTGCAAAAGATCCTAAGGGCTATCTCAGCCCAACATGGTATGAGAGCTATCAGGGGAAATTCAACTACCGTCAGACTATCAACAGACGACATGGCAACATACAAGGAGAGGAGTTCCTCTAATGGTTCTCCCGGGACTACTCCTACCCCACCTCCTGCCTCTGGCCTGCAGACAGAGGAAGGAACTGCAACGGGACCAGCAGCGCCTTCAGCCAGCCAGCCTGCCAGCTTCGACCCAAGTATGATGGAGAAATTTTTCTCCTTCATGTCGTTTTACGAGCAACACCAGCAGTCGGCACCTGCGCAGTCAAACAACAGCAACAACAACAACGTGACTCCAATGAGTCTTGATGGTTCATCATATGCGCGCGGGAATCAGCAACAACCTACCTTTGCTCCGTACGAACGCGGGTCCATCAGCTTCATGCCGCACCCGCAAGCTCCATCTGGACAAGAAAAACAACTGGATGCACTACAAGTTCAGTCGCAATTCGCGCACGTCTTAAAGCTGCAGACGTCAAGGCCCTTCGACGGGAAAGACTTCTTTACCTGGTCGTTCGAATTCGAGCTGATGATGGAAGGCGCGCAGATATTTGGCTTCTTCGACGGATCCCTGCCATACCCAACAAACGGTACACAGTATGAGAAGCAGCAGTACACATATCAGTCGATGATGGCGTACACGATCCTGCTGAGAAATATCACCCCAACTCAGCAGCAGAACATACGGTCTTACCGGGGATTCGGCAACTCCGCGGAACTCGCGTACAAGCACCTGAAGGACCTGTATCAAGCAACAGATAGCGTTAGTCAAAGTCAGCTAATGGCGCAGCTGACAACGGGATGGCATATGTTTGCCGATGTCGCGAACTGCGCGACAAGCTTCTTCGATGCGGAGGGTCAATCTCTGAAGACGCCTTCGTGACAGTCATCATCGGCGGCCTCGGTCCTCAATGGCGCGCAACAAAGGCCATTCTCCGAGCCCACGGAAGAATCTCCAAAGCAGCACTCTGCGCCGAAATACATTAACGCTGAGCAGCAGGACATGGACCTGCAAGAAGAACGACACAAGAGAAAAACGTCAGTTCCGGAGTTCGCGTTTCACACTCAGCGACGCTACAACAACAACAACAACCGACAACAACAGAAGCACGTACCTCCGTTCTGCCATATCTGCAAGACGTCAGGGCACCCGCGCACACACTGCCCGAATCGACAACAGTCAACGCCACAACAGCGACAGCTTCGACCTTCAAGCAGCCAAGTTGCTTCAACGCAAGCGAATCCTACGACCCAGGTTCAAGCTTCAACAACATCAACGGGACAACCTGCACAAGGCGCAAGAAACATCGTCAGTTGTATGGCAAAACTGACCGACTCCTGCATCACCGAATCACCACCTCATTACTCACCGGAAGAACAGCTTGACAACAGCACGCCCCGCCGCGAGTCACTGCAGCCGAACCCGACATACGCCGCTATCGCCCAGAGTGAGCCATCCGGGAAGGACACATGGTTCTTGGACAGTTGCTGCGGACAACACATGTGCTCTTCAGGACGCTTCGTACAACGGGAATATCAACTCCAACGAGAAGTAGTCATCACCGTCGCCAACAACCAGAACCTGCGCACACGACGACAAGGCGTGGTACAACTTCAGTCACGAGAAACAAGTGTCATTCTACAAATGACCAAGGTCTTAATCGCAGAAGGCCTCGGCTACAACTTACTGAGCGTCAGTCAGTTGATGGCGAAAGGCATTCACCTCGAAGCAGACAGCACCACCCAGGAGTTCAAGCTGTACCACGGAAAAGGCGGCCTCTACATCGGAAAGGCAATCCTCAA